TATGCATGACTTAACTCCCTGATGTTTTGTGGCTGGTTCTGCCTCTTGTGGCAGCCATTTTGTGGTTGCACCCACCACCCTGCATCAGAATTCTAAAGGTGCCCACAGGCTCAAGAAGGTTGAGGATCCCTGAGCTAGTGAACAAAACTCGCAATCCAATGAACAAACCACCAGTACACAGTAAGAAAGCCTTAAAAGAGATGGCATCAAAACCTAAACACACAATGTTTCATACACATTCTAGTCAAAATATACTTAAATTAGAAGAGACAAGGGTGGACCTGCAAGAAACTTGTGAAGAGGGGGCATTCCCTCACCTTTGCTTCCTTCCCTCTCCCCCTTTCTTTCTCTTCCCAAGCCAATCCCTCCTTCTTTTTCTTTCCAACCCTCCACCAAGTCAATCCCTCTTTTCTCTCTCTACCCGCAAGCCAATCCCCCTTCTATCTCCCCCCCCAAGCAAATACCCCCATCTTTCCCTTTCTGTCTCTCCCCCAAGCCAATCCCCCCCTTCTTTCTCCTCTCCTTATTTTCCCCTAACTTTGAGCCCGGCATCAGTGGCAGGGCCTGGGAGGCCGAGCCAGTGCAGGCTCAGACACAAAGCCACCCAATGCTTTCCATCCCTGTTTGTTCCCCGCTTCCCAAGAGTGGAAAAGCCTGCGAAGGCCTCATCGCTAGGAAAGCTGTTGCTAAGGGCAGTCATGTGCTCAAAACAGTCGCTTTCCAAGGAGAGGGAGGAGAAGAGAACCCTCCTCATCTTCTGTAAGTCCATTCTATGTACATGAGCAGAAAGGGCTGTTGTACTTTTGGGGGAATTTAAGTATCCCCCATATAGTTTTTTTTCAACATATTAGATTTTTCTGCAAGCCTGGGGACTGCCCCAAATATGCTGAAAGATGTCCCCCCCCCCCATCTACCCCAGATCTGCGGAAATAAGTATCCACACACAGAGAGACCCTTGGCTATTAGATATATAGATTTGTGAAACATTCTTTGACAATTTGATTGTTAGTTGCTAGAGGAAGATCCAGTTGATTGGTAGCCTTTCTTTCAACATACATCAGATTTGTAGGCATTAAAATTAGCAAATTTATGCCTTCATCCATCTTATACATTGAGAACTATGAGCACTTCCAGCTTGGGTTCTCCCTGCCTCATCCCTATTCACTGAAAAAGGAAGTATCCCTGCAATACTCAATTTGCTACTTTGCTGATATCGTCTCCATTAGTTCAGCTCCTCATTTAACCGTATACAACTGCAACCATGTTATTTTTCACCCTTTTTGGTAACAGGCTGCAAAGTCAAGGAGAAATACTCTGATGTCTAAATATTTGCCATCCCAAGTTTGATCTAGAAAGCAGATAAACAAGACTATGTTGTATTACATGGTACAGCCCTCAGAGCTTTTAAATTTTGTAAAAGAAAAACAGAATATGCCTTCTGAAACTTAATGTTTAAAAAAAAGTGTAGATTTTAGTGTATGAGAAAAATTTAAGATTTCTCCTCCAAACAAGCGCTGTCAGGTCATCTTACTATAATGCAGTTATAATATGCATATTGCAGAACAAACCCCTACTGTACACAGGTAAGTAGACAGTCTTCATAACAGCAATATAATTAATATTTACCTTTAAAAATTTGTATAAAGCAAACACACCCACACCAACGGCATACAAGGGCATGAGTGTTAAAGCAAAGTCTTTGCCATTCCCTCTAGTTCGCTCAGTCTTCGGCTCCTTCTCCATTGCGTTCCTCATTTGCTGGATGCTCTGATATGTTTTGCTTTCAGAATTTCCTGGATTCATGTTGGACTGCATTCTCTCAGATCCACCTACAAAGTAAGTATTTTTAGAATTTAGAGCCAGTCTAGTCCAACAGATAAAGACTGAGGACATTGCTGAAAAAGCTTTAGATCATTCTAAGACACCTGGATCTACTGAGCAGGAAAAAAACAGCCAGCAGAAACTGTTCAAATGAAATAACAAGAAGGTTTAGAGAGGCAGCAGCTTAAAGAACAATAGTAAAAATACACGCTATTTATATATAGCATTTTCACTGTTCAAAGCATGCTGTACTTTGTTGTAATTACTTTATTGTACAACAAGCTCTGTAAAACAGAGCAGTATTATTCACAAACTTTAGCGCGTGCCTAAGGCCTCTTTCATGAGTTCATGGCAGAGGTAAAAGAGAGGAACCAGAGACCTGGTGGATCACAGCTCATTTTCTTAGCCACTATATGCCTACCAGCATTTTAGTTTTTTCAGAGCAGACCTGAAATCCCAGTACAAAAAGAAAGCTCAATACACATAATAAATTATGAGGGAGGGAAAGATTAAAAATGCTGAAATCGCCTTCTGTAAAGAAAAGCACATCAAAAAAAAAGTGTGTGCTTAGCCTGCACAGAGGGGACTTTCATGGGGGTAAAAACTGATACATTCAGATAGTGTTAAGTAAAAGTCTAGACAGGTTAATGGTCATGAAACCAACATGGAGGTTCTCTGAAGTTTGCCTTAAGAATTACTCTACGTTAACTATTGTGTGTGCTGAGTGGTACAGTCAAAAACATATCATGGCAGGCACACAATGGTGTCACTCATTATCAAGGGTGTTATGGGCCATATTCATTCAGTGCCAATAACACATTGTTCAGTCACAATGCCCTGCTAGAATCCTATTCAATGACATTATAAGAATCACACTGTAACAGCAACAGCATCTTGAAGTACAGGGAAAACATAGTTTTGCCCAAACTGAAGGGCTTCCTTGAATAAGACACTTAGGCTGCAATCACACACACTAAATAATCCACTTTCAATGCATTTTCTAATTGAATTTTGCGAGTTCACAAAGTAAAATCCAGTTGGAAAGTGGATTGAAAGTGGATTATTTATTGTGTGTGATTGCAGCCTCAGATTTTGTGCATACAGCAGTTATTTTAGCTTAGCAAGCTCTCATAACCACAAAAATAATTAATGTAAAAATTACTGGAGACCCACTCCTCTCTCTCTCAAGAGCACAGCGGATGACAATTCTAGGATATTTTCACATGACTTCATGAACCACAATCATTGCTCAAGAAGTTTACCCTCTTGAAAATGCACAATTTACAGGCACAGGCTTTACCTCAGTTTCACATCCATCCCCATTTCCTTGATATGTCTGTCATATCTACAGCTTCTACAAGATGACAGTATACTAAAATATTAAAAGTTCTAAGTGACCTAACTGATACCCTAGGACCCACCAAAACATTCTTTTCAGCCACACTAAAGAAGCTCCCAGTTGCTTTCTGCTAGTATTGGTTACTTAATCAGTCATAATTAATCAGCGTCAGCAGGAAATGTTTAATTTTTAATGTTTAATTCTCCTGATGGGTATTGGACAAACAAACAAAAAATCAAAAGCTAGTTTCCAATGTTTTTCATGTTACTTTTCCAATAGCAGGCCAGTTGGTATAATTTTAAAGTTTTTCCTACCTTTATTATCTATGAGTTTTACCACCCAGGAATCAAAAGGAACTCCAATTCTTTCTCTTTCTTTAGGACCATTCCACGCTATACTCCTAAGCAAATTATCACTAAATTCTAGAGATCAGCCCTTCTCGAAGAAATACATAAGTGGGAAGGTGGAAAAAACCCCTATCAAATGTTACAACACAAACACACGCACAGAGCAGACCGATACAGCTATTCCTCAGGAACATCTTCCTCCAAGCATAATATCATCGCCAAACCCAACTCCTAAAACACTAAGCGGTAAACACGCGAGTCACCGAGGGTTGTCCCTCAAAACTCAAGTTATGCATGCACGTATACATTTTGAAATAAAATGTAAAAGGACAAGGTCGGAAAGAAAAACACCACAAGGTGGGGTTATTAGCAGCACAGGAACGTCTAAGCTCGCCAGAAGCTCCAGGCCTCCCTGGACTCCCGAACGGAGGGCCAGAACGGAGGGCAAGAGGGCGTTTATACCGTGGCGATGCTGCTGATAAGGATCGTGGCGGCCGGCGGAGGCCTTGGCAGGACGCGGGGACCTGCCGCCTCCTCCACCAAACATCCTGGGCATCACAACAAAAACGCAAAACACCAGCACGACGGAGATCAGCGCCTGCTGCCCGAAGGACAGCACCATGACGACGAACGGAAGAGGGCTCCTCCGGCGAGGAACGGGCCGGGAAGAGCAGCCGAAACGCGGCAACCACCAGTCTCCCGCGCCTCCCCTCCTCCTCCTCCTCCTCCTCCTCCTTCAGAGCGCTTCACGCCACACACAGAAGCCTCCGGTGGGGAAGGGGAAAGAGAAGCAGCGAGCGGAAGGGCGGGCAACCCCCCAGCTTCTCTTCCTCCTCCTGTTCTTGACGGCGCCCCCTCGCGGGCTCTGAGCCACTTCTAGAGCGGGCTTCAAAAGGAAGCGGCTCCGAGAGGCGGTGTGGTGTGGCAGGCTGAGTGCGCGCTTGCCCAGGGTACCCCCACCCTCCTGCGCAGACGTAATGTAGAGTCCAAGTCTTCTCCTCCAGGGGCGTGAGTCCGCAAGCACTATCACCACCCCCTATATTGGGTGGTGGCGCTAGGCGCTCTGCTCAGCCTAGCCAGCCACAGGGCACCTGACGGCTGGGGCAGCAGCACTCTCCCCGCCCCCCCCCCTTCTGTTTCTGTCTGCCTTGAGATGGGGAACGCCCAACCGCCTGCTCCCGGACCCGACCCACTCTGGCTGAGAGAGGTGGTTCCGGTGTATTTCAGACTAGGGAGCTGTATTTATACGTGCTGCATTTTGTAAGCGGCGGTCATAAATAGAGGGAACCCTATTGTAGGTATACTGAAGCAGTGGTCGGGGGAGGGGGGAAAAGCGGTCCCTGCGTCTGAGCGGTTTTCTGAGGGAAACCGGCTGCGCGAGGCGGGGATCTAGAGGTGGGCGGGGCTGGGTCGGGCTTTGGCCGTTGGCGTGTGGCGGTTGGCGCACGCGGAGTCCAAGTGAGTCGTGGCGGTGCCCGGGCGCGGATGCCACGATGAGGCTCTGGCTCCGGGCCGTGCTGGGCTTGCTCGCTCTTGGAGACCTGAGTGAACAGAAATCGTTTTTGCCGCTGCCGGGGGCATATCCCAGTATTACCAACAAGACCTTCATCAAGTGGGTAGTGGATGCCCACAATAAGCACCGCTCCCAAGTCAGTCCTCCGGCATCCAACATGCTCTACATGGTGTGCACAGTGGACCGGGAACGGGGATGTGACTGAAAGAAAGTGGGAAGGGGGGGAGGGGGAGATTTTGCTTTGGGTGAGCCTTCGGCCAAATTCAGTATGATTTACTGGCACTTAAACATTAAATTGGGTGAATCGGACCGCGGGAAGAGCTTTCAACTTTCCCTGCCAAGCGAACTTCATTCCTGGATGGAAGTCAACCTCCAGGCAGGGTTATTAGCTCTCAAGTAATAAAAAGGAAGGAGGCAGCCTTAAAAAAAACTTAAAAAAAAACCTGACAGGATTATTGTATGCTATGCTTCTAGAGGGAAGAGTTTAGACCTCCTGCTCTGCCAGGAAGACTTTCCACCAATCTTTTAATAGAGGGCGGTATTACATTCTGCCTTTTTAAAAGAATGTGAAGGGTAAAAAGAATCAGCTTACTTAGTCTTTAATTTTTGTGTTATTGCTTATGAAGATTATAGATATTTCACATGCTGCAAGAGGGATATAACTTTGATATTTCAAAATAGCTGTAAGTTGATTAAATTATTCATCAGTTAACAGCACAATCCTTGGGGGGGAGTGCTCAGGGGTTGTCACCAGTGTTGGTGTAGAACCCTGTTGCTGTTGTGCCTTGGCTGGGCATTAGTGGGGCAACACCACAGAGCCACACAAGAGCATTGTTGCTGCAACTCTGTGCTGATGGGAGGGAGGGCTCTGGGGGCATGGCAGAAGTTAGTTCCCTAAACTGTCCCGGCCTGGGGATGTCATAAAACTAACATAAAATTATTCCAGCAAAAATGGCAGTATAGTCCATAGGTGCTCAAGTAATGGAAAAGGCAAAATGATCTCCAAAAGGCATGGCTCTACTCCCAAGCCTCAGCGTACAGGATACTAATTGTGGCTGTGGCCAGTCACACCCCTCCCCAGCAGTGCCCCCCCCGCACTAATAAACCCAAGCGAAAACACCCTCTAGCTCATATGATAGGTGGCACATGAGGTCTAACTTGCCTGCTTAGAATGCATAGCATTTCACCCAAGGGGGAGAGCAAACTTCTTTGCTGTATGACCAAAGTATCTCATTTCAGAACCCTTAAAGGTACCCTGTCTCTGAAGATATACACTGAAGACATACACCAAAAGATCAACCACGCACTGACAGATTCATGGGGTGGGGATCCTGCAGTCTCGGCTCTGCAGTCTGCACCTGTCTTCCCCAAACCTACGTGCTACCCAACAATGCAATCCCCTACAGCCAAGGCTAGCAGTGTGCTTATATGGAGGCAGCCTGAGGCAGCTGCAGCAGTATGCCCCAAGTCATGAGGTGGGGCATATTCTCAGGAAAGTGCTTAGGAGTTATGGCTATGATGGTAGGGATGCTGGCAGTCCCATACCAGGCTGCTAGTGCAGTCCCTTGCCAGGGTGCCTATTGCCTCCCTTCCCAGTGGGAGTAGTGGCACAGCTGGAGTTGGGGGGTGGGTGACTGATGTCTACCGCCACTGTGCTCTGTGTGGAGCTGCTAGCTAAGCAACCATGGCACCTTTTGCCTTGCAAGATTGGAGCCCTATTCAGAAGTAGATGGAGTGGATACAGTTGAGATGTATCCCACACAGTGGATGGGTAAGTGTCATTAGGATGGCGGTGGCATGCATGTTGAGGGGCATTATCCTGACAAATGGAGATCCCCTCAGGGGGGCACCACAGACCCTAATGGGGCCCCACTGGCATGGCTGCAGTGGTCAGGGCCAGGGCTACTGTTCTGTTTGTCATCCTTGCATGTGTCTTTGGTAGTTCTGCAGGTAGTGATTCAACAGGGAAGAGACCTGTGAGGATAACATTCCTTGTGCAGTATGGGATGGCTGCAGTGATGAGTGTGGATCCTGCTACTCTGCCATCTCATTGGTTGCAGCTCAACTCCTAAAGCATCCCAACTAAGGCAGCCATCCATCAAGCAAGTTAATACCATTCGCATGGATGCTGTGATAGGGAAGGCCTGCTCCATCTTCCCATGGCTTCCCAGATCCACTTCCAAATGCAAAAAAGCCTTACTGGATACTTTATTACTATTTCTCTACTGCTGTTCAACGAAGTTTGGAGTGATCTAGAACTCCTCCTCATCTGTTATTGAGTAGATAAGATTTACTTCCTGACCATTCACACCATGCTTCTCTCTGCCCCTCCCCCATCTGCGTTTTCCATAGGACTCACCAGAACGGGCTCCCCTTCACTCATCCACTTTGAGTGACTGTGACTTGGGGAATCTGATGCTGGAACTGATGTTGTCAATCTTTAAGAGTATTGTGTAGTGGGTTGCCACATGGATGGACGACAGACAACGACGTAGTGCATAGCACGCTTTATTAGGTACACAACAAGAACAAAAGACAACGGCCAGCAGGCCAACTATATACACAACCAGGGGTCCACCCCTGGATCCCATTGGCGGGTTTCAATCTCCCGCCACGGACCCATTGGTTCCCCCAGTGGAGGGACTAGGATCCTAGTCCCTATTGTTGTTCCCGGCTGAAGCTCAGGAGTGTGTGCTGGCCTCCGGTGGCGGTCCGCGGACACAACATCCCTCCCCCCATAGTCCGGACCCTCCCCTATGTAACATAGTCTTTTAGGTACGATGGGGATCGTCGTACCCTAGTGGACCGTCTGGGGGTCGGAGCTGTCGCTCCCGGGGTTCTGACCTCCGGGCTGGGATCCGGAAGTGGTGCCGGGGCCTCTGCTTCGGCCGCCTCTGGATCCGGAGTCTCCCCTGCGGTTGCCGGGGGCTGGGTGTCCCGGAAAGGGTGCTCTTGCGTGGGCACCTCCCTCTCCAGAGCATCGGCTGGGGTCTCATATGGGACCGCCCGTTGTCCCGGTTCAACCTCCAATGGGTGATCGGGGAGCATATGCCGCCTGAGCTGGTCAATATGCCTCCTCAGGACCTGTCCGCATTCGGTGGACACCTCATACATGATGGTGCCCTTCGCTCGGATGATGCGGCCCGCGATCCATTCCGGGCCCCTGCTGAAGTTGCGGGTGAACACGGGTTCCCCAGGGAAGTACCCGCACGGTGCCTCTCTGTGTTCAGAGTCTGTCTGCTTCCCCGGAGCCCTGTCGGGGTGGAGGCGATCTAGGAGGGTCGTGGGCCGCCGGCCCATTAACAGCTCCGCTGGGCAGCGGCCGCTCACTGGGTTGGATGTCCGCTGCACCAGGAGGAAGCGGGCGACGCGGGCTTCCCAGTCTCCCTCCACTAAGCGACTGAGGGCCTCTTTCGCAGTCCGGACCATGCACTCCGCTTGGCCGTTGGTCACGGGATGGAAGGGTGCCGTCCTGATATGCTGGATCAGGTTGCCCTAGAGGAACTGCTGGAATTCCTCGGACGTGAACGCTGTCCCGTTGTCCGATACGATGGTGTTGGGCAGGCCGTGGGTGGCAAAAATCTTCCGGAGGGCTCGGATGGTTGCCCTGGTGGACATTGTAGAGACGGGGCTGATCTCCAACCATTTGGTGTAGGAGCGACAAGGCGGTCGAGTTCTGCGTCGATCTTGGGTTTGACCGACAACGGAACCGTCCTGGCACGCATCCTAATGGGGGCCACCAAGGGGTCTAACCGCAAGGACATCGGGGGGCCCGTATATCTGCCCAGAGAGTCATCAAATACAGCGGGGAACTCGTGGCAAATCCCTTTGAAGTCCAGGGTCGAGCGCGCCTGTACCCCCTCTACTGTGATGCCCAGGGGTTCGAACCAGGCCCGCCCCAGTAAGCTGACTAGGTCTCCCTCGACCACTATCAAGTCTAGGTTTCTTTTAAAATTCTTGAATTTCACCCGGAAGGTTCCGACTCCCTTGATTGGCACCGGGTTACGCTGGAAGTCCATGAGCGTAATCTGAGCTGGGCGTAATCGGGGTCCCCCCTTGGGACATAGGCGTTTCAGGGTTGCCGCGGAGATTATTGAGGCCGTGGAACCTGAATCCACCTCCATCTTACAAGGGGACCCTTCTATCGTGACGGTGGCTATGAACTTGTGGGAGGGCGACTTGCCGGGGAGTTGAAATACCTTCTCTGCTGTTTGGGTGAGGAGGTAGAGGTCCTCGGCGCCGGCGTCTTCCTCGAAGTAGGTCTCAGCTTTCGGGCGAGCTGCCTTGGAGCTGCAGGCCTTCGCGATGTGGCCCGTGCGGCTGCAGTTGTGGCAGACGGCGTTGCGGAACCTGCAGGTCTTCCAATCGTGCGGTTCCCCGCAGCTGGCACACGCGGATGTGCTGAGATGCTGGCGGCCAGTGCTACGGTGCGGCGCTTGGGTGCGGTGCAGTGCTTGGGTGCGCTGCCAGGCCCCTCCATAGGCCATATGGACGTCCTGCTCCTCGGGACCTTCTGACTCGACCTGTAGGGTCGTGGCAGGGGCGGCGTGCGACCTTTCCCACGCGACTGCGGTGGCGAGGGCCCCTTTAAGGTCGACCTTCTCCATTGCCATGAGCTTCCGTTGGAGCTTCACGCAAGCCCGCAACAAAGTGATCCCGGAGGGCGTCATCCAGATGTGCCCCGAAGTTGCAGTCTGCGGCGAGATGGCGCAGCTCCTCGAGGAACTCTACGGCTGTTTCTCGGCCCAGCTGGTTGCGGGTGTAGAAGGTCACCCTGCAGGTCAGCTCCATTGGTTTGGGCGAGAAGTAATTTTGCACTGCATTGACAATTTGCTCAAAGGTGCATGCGTCGAGGTCCGTTGGGGACAGCAATCTTTTAGCCAGGGACATGACTGTGGTGCCACAGGAGGCCAGGAGGTATCCCCTTTTCTTACCGTCATCTGTGATGTCGCAAAAGGCAAGCGCGGACTTGACGCCCCTGACCCAAGCGGGCCAGTCTTGCGGACGGATTATGTCGAAGGGCGGCTGCGGCCCAAACCCTGGAGTGGTCGCCATTGTGCGCGTCGGAGCGGGTGGGAGAGAAGCGGCCTCGCCGGCTGGATCGCTCATCGAATCGCTGCTGCTTCCCGTTCTCTCGGCCCTTCATGATGGCCCGGCTCAGATGCAGCT